AGGAAGAAAAAGGTGGTGGCCGGCAGGCAGAAAAAGACACTCACACCCCCAAAGCCCACCGGAGAGTAAGAGAACTCTCCTCCCGGAAAACCTAATTTTGTTCCGATCCGTTTCCCTCCAAGGAAGGAAAAGGTGGTGGCCGGGAGGCAGAAAAAGACACACACACCCCCAAAGCCCACTGGAGTAAGAGAATTCTCCTCCCGGGAAACCTAATTTTGTTCCGATCCGTTTCCCTCCCACTGAGGTTGCTCTACCCCTGATCTCGTTGACTCGGGTCTTGAAAAACATCTCCTGTCTTCTAGGAACGACATAAAATACAGTTGGACCCACATATCCGTGGGATCTGCATCCACGTGGATTCTCTGATTATTATTAAAACAGATTTTAAAAAACCCTACCAATAGGTATGGATCATGGTGACGTTTCCAGAACAGGCCTCTAGAACGGGCCAGAGACCATGTTTTGTATAGCGCTCGCTATTAAAACAGCATTTGCTATAATCCACGTTTTTCAACCTCCGCAGAGCTGATCCCCTGTGGATACGGGGGTCCTACAGTACTTGGGGGGGGGGGGGGGACGTTTTTGCATGCTGAATATTACATGACCTGAACTGGTAGCTCAAAGGCGGGACTCAACTCTGCTGACAAGACACATTTATATGGCCCAGGAAAACTTAACTTAGGAGGTTGGGGACCGTCAAGAAGTAGCGACTGCTCATGGATGCAAACAAGAGCATCAGAGCATGAGCCATTCCAATTTCCAGGGACAATTCTAACCATGGACGACCACCACCCCAATCACGAAGGGGGGGAAAAAACACCCTTTTTGACAGGAAAGGGCAAAGCCAGGATTCCGTCAGAGACCGTGAGCAGCAGGAAGGGCCGGCCGCAGACGGATCCATCAGAACCCGAGAAGGTTTTGCAGGGTGAGCTCAGCAGCAAGAGAAAAAGCCAAGCGGATGAAGGGAAAGATGGAAAGACGACAGAGCCTGTGTTAGGGCCCCACGAGGATGATGGGGGGGGAATAATCAGGCCAAGGTGAGGAGCTGGAGGGAAAGCGGGAGGGGGAGAAAGGGGACATGGAAGACATTACCTGATTTTCACTCGAAAGGAAGGGGAACAGATCCAGACCTAGAAAAATGAACAGGTGGGGGGGAAATTAATGGTAAAATGAACATGTCAGAGAAAGAGGATCTGCAACGAAGGAAGTGGGGTGAGAGATATTTCAGCCACATCCAGGGCAGGGGTCAGGAAGGCGAGGGGCTGGCCAACCCAAGAATGGCGCCTGTCACCACCTCCAGTGGGGTAAGTAAGAAAGGATCTCCTCATGGGTGGTTGACACCCACAACACAGCTTCCTCTGTGCCCGGGCTTTTCCTCTCTGACGGCACCGAATCCCGGAGTTGCAAGGTGGTCAAGAAAAAACTGGCCTTGAAGGATACCCAGCCGCCACTCGCACTCAGAGCCCGGGGAGAAGTGAGGCCACCGCGAGCAACCGTACGCAGACCCACAGAGGAGGCTGTTGCACAGGGCTGGGGGAGGCCCTTCCGAGGGGCAGCAGAATTCCTCGGCCTGGGGTTTGTCAGCCCCCCCCCCCGTGGCCTTGGTCACCTGTGGCGAGCAACCGCTCTGGGAGGCGATGAGGCCAAGAGGCTCTGCAAAGCTGAGCGTTTTTCAAAAGGAAACACCAAAAAATGCACAAGGGAGTCTAGTAGGTTTGGCGGACTCCCTTCGCCCCCCCCGTTGAGACGCCACCCCCACCCCCCCGGGGGCCAAATTACCTTGAATGTCGGAGGGCACCTGGTACGAAGGATGATAGTCGGGCATCGGGAGGCTGGAGAGGTAGTCGCTGCCCACGGCCGCCATCGGGGGGCTCCGCAGCACCGAGGACGGCTGGTGGTCGGCGCTCAGAACCCTGAAACGAAGCAAGAACGGCCGTCGGGCTTAGGGGAGGCGGAGTCCGACTCTTCCGGGATAATTCCAGGCGGAAGGGAAGGTCCAAGAGGGCTGCTTTCCTACCCCTTTGGTCCAGCTGCCGACGGGATGGCGGCCGTGGTGACCGGGCACTGCTTCTTGGCGGGGGGCTCCTCGTCCTCGGACGAACTGTCAATGGTCAGGTCTATGACCTCCACTTTCTTCTTGCCTTCAGCCCCTCCCGGCTTCCCATCGGCTCCGACGGTGTAGAGGGAAGCTGTCGAGACAACGCAAGCGGTGACTGGACTCTGGGCAGCCGCTCCGGGCCGAAAGGCCCCTCAGTCCTTCCACCCAGGCGCACGAGAAAGAAGGCCAAGCTTAGCGCAGTCGCTCTACGCGTGAGGAAGACGGAGAGAGGCCGAGGCCCACGTTCCGATGGGAGAGCTGTTCCAAAATCTATCCAGGAAGGAGTTCCACGGGTGCAGCTGCGTGGCCAACGCATGGCTCCCTGCGCAACCAGCTGCCACCACCCTGGACCGCCTGGTCGTAACTCCCTGAGCATTTACCCTGGTGTAAGTTTATGCTAGGTTGAGGCCAACCAGATCTCCCTCTGGGGAAAGAGAAGGTCTGTAGCAGCAGGGGCGGCTGGCAGGCACCCCCACCCCCCAAAAAACCCAATTCATTAGGAAACAAACTTAAGAGCGATGACACATTTACAACCCCCCCCCCGCCTTGTCTGACACACAGACAAACGACAGATTTCTGCTCCTGGGTGACCGGCCTCAAGGAATCCAGCTCAAATCAAAACCTGCCTTCACTTTGGGCCAAATGTTCAAATAGGGGTTTGGTTTGATCATTCTTCACTCTTCGTCCCACCTTCCTGCTGACCCTAAATGAACCACAAGACAGGAGTCTATGTGAAATGAATAAGTAAACCCTAAGTGTGGAGTCTATTTGAAACACACGAACTATGCGACAAGGGTCTGCCATAACTGGAGGGTGTAGCAGTATTCAAGTTGGGAACAGCATTTTTCCTGCCATTCCTGGTCATGACCTAGTCGCCTTCTGTCGTCACCGACTCTCCCAAACAGAACCTGGTGTTTTGTTTTGTTTTTGTCCTCCTGTCCGAGATTCTTTTGAAAAAGGCCACGAATAGAATTTGGAGCCCCGAGCATTACACCTTTTCCAAAGATACCCTGGCGTCTCTCTCGTCCTGGGAAAGGCAAAACTCCTCCCGGAGGCCCTCTCTGGCCGATCAAGAACAGCCCACGGTCGACCCCGCAGCCAACCGCCCACCCATCGTGCCCAGAAGGGGGGGGGAGAGCATCACCACCTCGGCCTCCCTTACCTTCCAGCCCGTTGTAGGCAGATGGCTGGCAGACCTCCGGGTTTTCTCTCTTGGGCTTCATAGGACACCAGGAGCCGTCTTCCATAAACTGGATCTCGTCGCAGTCGGTGACGGAGTTGAGGATTTCCATGAACAGCCTGGCGAGTGGGGAGGAAAAAGGTGAAACACGAGGGTGGATCCGAGAGCCCCCGAGGTCTGGATCCTTTGCTACACGCGGGGAGCCCTTTCCCACACTCGCCGTCTGGGCAGGGCAAGAAGGGACTCTTCCCGGACTTTACCCATCAATGATCAGCGCCTCGTAGGGGGCCTTCTTGTCGCAAACAGGGCAAGTCCAGGTGGGCTTCTTCTCGTTCATCTGCAGGTAAAGGGCCGCGTCGAAGCACTGGAGGTGAGTGCAGGTGAAAGCCCGGCAGGGAACAATCAGCCGCATCTTGCCGAGCTGGCAAGGAAAAGGAAAAGAGCGTCGGGACGGGTCAACTGGGAGGCAGGGCGAGGGCCTGGGATCCCATGGGATCTTGATAGCTCTCAGAAATTGCCTGAGGCTAACTCTGGCTGGTCACAGGGATCACACACACACAGACACGTTAGAAGCAGCGCCACTGGCTGCCGATCCTATTCCACGTTGCATTGAAACAGGTCTCCCACTATGAGCCTACTCGAGGGCTCGTCACAGGGATCACACACACACAGACACGTTAGAAGCAGCACCGCTGGCTGCCGATCCTATTCCATGTTGCATGGAAAGGGCTGGTTACAACCTCTAAAGCCCTAAACGGTTTGGGTCCAAGCGATCCCAAAGACCATGTCTCCCACTATGAGCCTACTCGAGGGCTCCAATCATCAGGAAAGGCCTTTCTCTCGGCCTCACCACCTTTACAGGTCCGTCTGATGGGGACACGGGAGAGGGCCTTCTTGGTGGCTGCTTCCAGAGACTGCGGAACTCCCTGCCACTGGAGGCCAGGCTGGCGCCCCTCTCGGCTCTCCTTCCGCAAGCTGGCCAAGAGACCTTTCTCTTCCAGCAGGCTTTCCCTGAACGATTGGTCACTCACGCTGGGTTTTGAAATGAATGGCTGTACCTTACTGCTTTACATGTGTTTTGGCCTTACGAATGTTCCCAGCAGGCTTTCCCTGAACGATTGGTCGCTCACGCCGGGTTTTGAAATGAATGGCTGTACCTTACTGCTTTACATGTGTTTTGGCCTTACGAATGTTCAGTATCGCTTGTCTGTTGAACGATGCCAATAAAACCACATTCCTCTGGAAATAATCCCAAACCATTTTATGGATGGCAAAGATAGAAAAGGTTCTTCCCACAAGATTACAGAAACCGGACCAGAGGCATCTCCAAAAAGCAGTTTTTGTTTTTAATAAGCAATTAAGGAACTAAGTATCGTTCCTTACGTTTCCACCGTTACAGAAGGTTGTCACAAGGAAGGGGGAAAATCAAAATAAGGGGAAAGGGAAAACTGGTAGGCACATGAAAACTTCAAACATATGTTGACATCCAAACATGTGATGGAAAACTTAGGTTCTCCCGAATGGCACTTCTGGATAGAAATAATCTGAATACATGACACCCCGGTTTTAAGCTTCTTGTGGCTCCGCCTGCTGCTGATGGAGACGCCGCGGGTTTTGTGTTTCAAACAAGGAACAAATCAAGCCAGGAACTTACCGGGCACATGAGAGAAACTCGTAAGCTTGTCGTCGCAATCTCGCTGTCAGGATCAGCGGTCAGTTTTTCTTTGACTGGAGGGAGGGGGAAAAAGAGAAGGGGAGGGCATTTTATTGAGTGCCAAGGCAAAGAGCCTCTCCGAGGGATTAAAAAGGAGGGAGGCCCACAAATACTTTACTCCAGCTGGCCGCTTTCCAGATTCTGTGGGTCACAAAGTTCTTTTGAGAAAAGATTCTGGGAAAGGTTAGAGACAGAGCGAGAGGTTGATTCCACTCTTGCTCACACCTTTCAATTTTTCAAAAACCGCCTGGACGTGTATCAACATACCTGCACGTCTTTTTTTCACTCTCCACCTTGCTAAACAACACAACCTTCTTGGGCGTCCCTAACATGGACCCACAAATAACTCAGGCAATGATATTTCTGCGTGTTCCTCTGTTGAGCTTTCTCATCTACAGGAAAAGTGCTCTTGCTTCGCTGTTAAGGCTTTTAAATTTTTTAAGACAGGGACTTCAAAAGAGGGAAAAGCTAGCAAATGCACTGTGGTTGCATTGCTCATCGTGACAAACCAGGCCGTTTTGATGATCTTGATTTTGGACTCCCGCTCTGCTTTGTCCGCTGAACGGCAAATTCCAGCTTCCGTTTCTAAAGGTATAATTAATTTTTACTATTTTAATCTTTAGTAAAAAAAAGGTGCTTCTGAATAAAACCTGCCTTTAGCTAGAACCAAGTAGAGCATCTGGTCCAACACAGTCGGACTGGAGAGAGCATCCTCGCAGAAAAAAATTAAGCTGGGCTGGAAGTAAATAAGAGGATCGCCAAGACATTATCTCCTGCACCATTGGCTCAGGTTTGCTAAAACGAGAGTCAACCGTTTGGAAAGGCTTTCCTCCTGAAATCAAAATAAGTAATGTAAGAAATGTTCACGCCCTCCTCTTAAGAATGGAAAGGAAAACACATACACGCTACGTGCCCTGGCATCTATTATCCAACCTTCTACGCAGGAAGAACAGTTCAACGGAGCGAGAACTTACTCAAGGCCCGCGAGTGGTCTGGGTTTCGGATGCCTTTGGCTCTCAGCTTCTGCAACAGGGTAACGGACGTCAACTGTTTCACCAAGTAAACGGACAGGGAGTAATTCTAGGCAGGAGGAAAACAGCATCATTTAACAACTGTGCCAAGAAATAACAATTCAGGCTACAAGTAACTGCTGAAATAACGGTTCTCCCCTGTTCATGGAGAATCTCTTCCTTGCTCCCAGAGATTGAAAACATTTTTTTTCAAACATAACATGCTAATGTTAAAAGCATTACATTAAGACCCCCCTTATCCGCAGGATCACTATCCACTGATTCAATTATCCATGGTCTGGGAAATATTAAAAATGCTGAAAGGAAAGTCTGCATTAACCGCCTCTTGAATGCCTCCAGCGCTGGGAGGGCTCCCCACCTCTCGCGGCCAGGGGTTCCCTCGTCATACCATTCTAACAGTTAAGAAGATTTTCCTGACGGTCGGCCTTTTCCTTTGCCAACAAGACACCTTATTTGGAAAGCAATGCAAACCCTCTCTCTTGCCCACGTTCTCATAAAAGATGGGTCAAAGCAGAGGAACTAACTCCACGCAGCTAAGCAAGGAAAACAACAGAAACACCACCACCACCCCCTCCGCTCTTACTCGGCCAAACTCCGAGGACCAGTTGACCACAATGGTGTTGGGGACGGTCGCCGAAAGCCGCACCAGGGGGGTGATGTTGATGGGTCGACTCGGCCGCTTGGGCTCTGCACCGTTTTTTGTGGGCGGAAGGTAACCCTGCAGAGGCAGAAGAGAACGTCCAGGGGCCAAAGTCCGGCCAGCCGCAGAACCACGGCGAGAGAGGCGCAGCAAAGCAACGGCTCGGATCCTGCTAATCTAACCTCCCGTTCTAACGCAGTAGTACTTTGCCTCCCTCCCAGCAGCACTTTGCCAGAAGTTAAGATGGCGCCGGCGGCATTTTCTATCACACACTGGTCACATGACTCGGTGTCTGGCAGGAAACGCCCATGACGACTTCTTAACCTCTGGTGTTCTCCCTGTTGAAAGTCATATTAAGAGAAATACAAAATAGAACTCTGGCTCATACCCACCGGATCGGTACCCACAGTTTCAATCATCTGTAGTCTGGAAATATTAAAAAGGGGAGGAAAAAACCTTAGAAATATGTTTTCTCATGATGTATTTACTAGACCTGGACACTAGAGGGAGCCAAAGATCATGCTATATAGATTCTTGTTGAGGAATACACAGCATGGTCTCTGGCTCCCTCAAGTGGTCAGTTCTGGTAATACACAGTGAAAACGCATTTTTCTGGATGTTTTCTTGTACCTGTGTAGTGTTTACTAGTATGCATGGTTTTCGGCATCCACAGGGTGGCTTGGAACCAATCCCCTGCAAATACGGAGTTTCCACTGTATATTAACACAGTGAAAACACATATTTCTGGATGTTTTCTTTTACCCGTGTAGAGCAGTGGTTCCCAACCTTGGGCCTACACAGTGAAAACGCATTTTTCTGGATGTTTTCTTGTACCTGTGTAGTGTTTACTAGTATGCATGGTTTTCGGCATCCACAGGGTGGCTTGGAACCAATCCCCTGCAAATACGGAGTTTCCACTGTATATTAAATCACGGTCAAGCAAGGTTCATTTATATATAAAATACGGGACCCTAGCCATGCAAGTCAGAAAGGACATGACCTGGAACGGAATCTCAAATAACGAAGAATGCATTCTGTAAATTAAAAATAACAATCAAGTGTTTTTGAGAGAGCCCACTCTACACTGAAGGGCATCTTCTGCTTTACGGTCTAAAGTCAGAAAGGACATGACCTAGAACAGAATCTCAAATAACGAAGAATGCATTTTGTAAATTAAAAATAACAATCAAGTGCTTTTGAGAGAGCCCACTCTACACTGAAGGGCATCTTCTGCTTTACAGTCTCGGAAAACATGCCGTTTGCGACAAAGCAGTCAGGAGCAGCTGAAGGCGTTACAATCTCCCTGGATAACCCAATGAAGACGTATTAAAGAAAATGGGAAGAAAATGAGAAATAAGAGACACATAGAAGGCAGAAACCCAGAATTCTTCAGAAAGCCAGTGTGGGGTTAGGTTACGGACAGATTAAGACCTCAGGGAACTGGGTTTGAATTCCCCGCTCAGTCACTGAAAATCACAGTGGAATGGGGGAAGCCGGGAAGAAAATGAGAAATAAGAGACACAGAGAAGGCAGAAAGCCAGAATTCTTCAGAAAGCCGGTGTGGGGTTACGGACAGATTAAGACCTCAGGGAACTGGGTTTGAATTCCCCGCTCAGTCACTGAAAATCACAGTGGAATGGGGGAAGCCCTCTCTGTAAGTAGCTTAATTACCTTGACAGCCCTGTTCGGGTCGCCCTAAGTCGGTCCTAACTTGACAGGACAGAACAACTATAAGTCATGAACAGATTTGGCAAACTCCTTTCAGCCTGGGCTCTACAACACTGAGCCGCTGATGCTTTTCCTGAATAAACTCACCGAACCAGAGGACGAGGAGGGTCTCACTCACCGGAAGAGGGCAGAGTTTGCCGTTGATTTTGACAAACAAGTTGGGGGGAAAGTAATCCTCTTGAGGACAGCTGGTTTCGCACAAACAAAACCTGCAAAAGCGGAAAGGCGGCCACTTATTGAGAGACAGGGGGGCACCCGGAAAGCAGAACCAAAGCAGGAGGGCTACCCTCCCCCCAAACTCTAAAGATCTCCTTGTACTCTCTATGGGGCCGTGTGGGCACCAATTTTGCTACATCCCACCCCCCCCAAAGCTGTTTTAGGCAGGGTGGGGGCCTCCCCCACACACACCCGACACTCAGAACAGCAAAGGGTGGTGAGCTGATTTCAGTTTCCCCTTTTTCAGTTTAAAAGAATTTAAGACAATATTTTGGGAGAGCAGTCCTCTGAGATGGAGAGGTAACCGCATCATGCTGCCCCCACCAATCGCCGTTGGGGAAGGAGCATATTTAGGGTGTGCTCTTTTTTTAAAAAAAAAATTCCAACTCCCACAACTTTGCAAGAACTTCTCAGGCGGAATTCTGGGCGTTTCAACCCCCCCAAACACATGCCTCCATTTTGCTTTTGGGGAGGGCAGAGCAAGTTTTAACCAAGTGTATTTTCCACTCTTTAAAAGAACGGGAGATAGCTCTCTAAAGCTCTTACCTCAATTGTACCTGTACGGTATAATCACATTTAGCACCCGGTAAGATGTCACTGGGGGGAAAAAAACACACACACAGAGAAAAACGGTTATGATTTCTTACTGCTAGGTACTAATCTTGGAATGTTTGTAAATAAGAGGATATGGAGCAAGTCGAAAACTTGGTGTTACAATCCAAAATATGCACACTCTGAGTCCATTTTTACAAAGGGAGCTGCCTCTTTCACAGTAGCCTTTTCGAATCCGTGGATTTTTTTTGTCCACCATGGACATTCCCAATTAAATAATACCAAGCCAGCATAATGAATTTTTTTTTGAATTTTTGCATATCCCATAATTCCCTATCCCTGGCGTTCTACAAGACTTAAAACAGACCTACATGTGGCTCACCCAGGAGTAAAGGCCTAGACGGAGAGGCTTGGAGGCTGAGCTAGGCCTAGCTTCACCCAAGCTTCCTCTTCCTGCCCCAGTGCTCCCTGGGAACTTCCCTTCTGAACAGGAAGCCAGGCAGAGCTAGGCCGAGCTTGGTCTCAGAGCCTTCCAGTTGAGGCCTTCTCTCCCCCCCCCTCCACCCACCCAGGAGAGCCACACTGAATTATCTGTGAGGTGTGTGCAAATCAGGCAGAACTCCCAGAATGAGGATTTATGGCTTTTGTAGTCCACGAAATCCCAAATCCCATCCCTAGTCACTGCATTTCAGCATGAGAGCATCCAGCTGTAAAGCCTCCCTTGCTGTTTATGTGCCGTCCTCTCTCTGCCTTGTCCGAGGCCTCCGTGGTGGACCTGTGGCCCTCATTTTGGCCTTGCCCGCACGCAGCCCAGCCTCAACACAGGCCTGTCGTTAATTCACGATATGCCCTTGAGTCAACATCATTAAAGAGGAAGGGTGAATTTTAAAGGAAAAAAGGATCCCCTTACCGAGAGGTGAGGATCTGTTGCACTTGCTGAGGGGTCAGGGCAAAAGTAAAGTGGGCCTCCTCAAACCGCTGGCTATTCACGGAAGCTGCAAAAAAGAAGAAGCCAAGGCGGCATGAATGTATATATTTTTAACGAAAGCCCTCTGAGCCAGCCAAGCCCTGTGCAGAGACATATTAGGGTACCCTCAGTAAAATCATAAGACGACTCTAAAAGCACTCCCAATATAAGAAGAGTACAGTTGGACCCCCTTATCCACGGGATCAAACTCTAAAAGCACTCCCAATATATGAAGAGTACAGTTGGACCCCCTTATTCAGGGGATCAGGATCCTCGTTAGCAGCTTCTGAGATTCCCCTGCCAGGAGAAAGCATCTTCTATCACCCTTGTCATACAAAGCTTTGCTTGTTTGCCACTGGGGGGAAAAGTGCAGTTCTTACACACACATACAACCGTCTGGTTCATGAGTGGGGGATATTGTGCTTCTGGACCCACAATTCGAAAAGCCAGGAAAGGGCCCGAAATGGCAGCACCATAGGGTGCCCACGTTGCCGGCAGGAGAAAGGACGCCAAGCTTTACCTAGTGGCACCAGAGGGTGCCCGCAGGAGAAAGGACGCCAAGCTTTACCTAGCAGAGGGCAGCCTGAACGTTGATGGTATCCATGGCTGGTCTGTGGGATCCCCTTGTGTGCTTATGACCATTCACAAAGCGGCACCACCACGCAGGGGGGAAACCCCAGAAGTGGGTTGTTTTTTTTCTTCCTCCATCTGTTAACCACTTCTCATTCAAGCACAAAGCAATGATCAGGGCTGTTTTTCCAACAAGTGCGAATTTTTGCTTTCTTGTTCGAAGCGGGAATTAGCGGGTGGATTAAACACGGAGCGAAACACCCAAGCTGTTAAGATCTCCTGCATCATAAAAGGGCTGGATTAGACCCTAACAACGGCCTAGGATTCTTCACTCTCCCATGAAGTAAGAATTTGGAGCCTCCTAATGACGGCCGATAGTCGGCCAGAAGAAATTCTTCACGCAAAACTAGCTTCTGGGACTCCTTGCCACTGGAGGCTGCGTCGCCCACAGGCCAAGGGAGGATTCCGTGGGATAAACTCTTCTGCTGGATTCTAGATGGCCGGGATTTTCGGCCGGGAACCCGATTCCCGGCAGCCTTCTTCGAATCCCCACATCCTCACAGAGGGAGAGTCACAGCTTGCTTCTCCAGCCCTGGGAATCCGAAGAATGCGAGGGCCGCCAGGAGAAACATTTCAACCTCCCTGGATCTCGGCAGGTGCTTTCCTGGCAGGCCGGCAGCATGACCTTGCAGAACGGCCCCACGGCCCCCACCAGCGACTCACAAAATACAGTGGTGCCTCGCATAGCGATCGCTCCGTTTTATGACAAAATCGCTTTGCGATGGACTTTTTGTCATCGCAAGAGCGATTGCTTTGCAATGGCCCCTATGGAGAAAATTCGCTTTGCAATGATCGCAGGGGAGCGGTCCCCCGCGATCATCCCAAAGGCCCCATTTTCGCACAGCTGATCGATGGTTCCAAAATGGCCGCCCGCTGTTTTGCCTCGCTTTAAAGGCACCGAAAATGGCCGCCCCTATGGAGGATTTTCGCATAAGGTGAGTTTTTAAGCCCATAGGAACACATTAAACGCGTTTTAATGCGTTTCTATGGGCTTTTAAAAATCGCTTAGCGATGAAATCACATATCAGCCATTTTTGCTGCTAAACGAGGCACCACTGTACTCCCGAAAAAGAACTTTTGTCCCCCCTTGGCTTTTAAAACTGCAACGCAGACACAACAACACACCAAAGACTTTTGCTTTGCTTTCCTGCAGCAACTTTCAGAGATGGAGTAAAAAGTATGGTTATTTATTTCATTGATCTGAGTCAACCCCATCTTCTTAGAATGGCAGAGCTGGAACGGGACCCTATAAGATTGCCCAGCCCAGCCAGTCAAGGAGGCATGGGGGGGAGAGAATTCAAACTCCCAACCTCTGGCTCTGCAAAGACCTAAAAACCCCTGCATATCTGAGTGGAACAATTAAAACGCACAGGCCCACACACATACACACAGATATTGAGAAATTCTGAAAAGGTGAAATGGTTTCTCCATTTGCTTTACTCTGGTAACTGCAAACATTTCTGGAACAGGAAACACAACAGAAAATGCTCACAAAAAAGGCGTGCAGGACCGATCACTAAGGGGAGGATTTCTATGACATGTCATATTTTTTCTGCAGTTCATGTTTGTGCTTATGGGTGGGTCTGAACAGGCTGATGAGCAATCCAGTGAGAAAGGCTCAATTACTCATAAACATGTTTGAATGGGTTCGAATATAGGTTGCAGGGAAAATGTGACAGGTCACAGAAATCCTCGCCCAGCAATAGCTCAGCAAAGCATGCATATTTTGGCAAAGGAAAGAGCAGCAGGCTTCCAGGTTACACAGAGCTCTTCCCTTGCGCTCGGGTCAAGCAGCAAACAGGAGACCACAGGGGAAAACCCCAAAGCCCGGGACGGAGGCCTTACCGAGGGTGGTCGGCTTGATGAGCTCGTCGTAGACGTCGTAGAAAGGCAGCCGCCTCATCTTCACATCCGGATGGACCGGGTGGATGGGCGGCGAGAGGTGCGGGACGTCCGCCTCGTGTTTGGGTCCCAACATCGGCACCGGGGGAAGCATCCCCGCCGGCACGGCCGAGGCCACGGAGCCGTTGTCGTAGGGCAAGTGGCACATGGCCCCCTGGGTGAGGGCCGTGGCCGAGGGCAGCTGCCCGGCCTGGAGGTGGAGCATGGACAGGTCCGACGGGGTGAGGATCTTCCGGGGGAAGCGTCGCCGGTAGAGCTCCTTGATTTTCATCTGAACCGCGGGGCTGCAACCCGACTTCAGCAGCTGGAGGGCCTTGGTGAGGAGCTCATGCTTCCGGCCGCTTTTGTTCCGGCCGGCGAAACCGAGCAGCACCTGGAGCTCGGAGACCCTAAAGCTCATCACCATGTGCTGCGAAGGAGGAGGAGGAGGAAGGGGGGAAAAGAAAGAAAAGAAAAGGGAGGCGTTTTAGAAGCTGGCGGTTTCAGAGAAGCCAAGGCGACGGCGGCAGGTCGCGGATCGTGAAGGCCTCCGGCACCACCAACACCGGACCGGGAGCATTCACACAGAAGGAACGCCCACTGGATTCCGTCGACGACACCGACGCCCGAAGATCTGAATCGAGGTTTGAATCCCCACGATCAAGAGGAAGGAAGGAAGGGTCGTGGTTACTCGTGAGCAAAGGCTACAGTTTGGGGAGAGGGATGGGTTTTAAATCAGAGGGGAAGGGAGCCAGGGTAGAAGGTTCAAAAGCTAGGCCTGGTAATGGCATCTCGTCTACCACCTCTGAAACAGGAAATGCACGGGCCGTGCCGTAAATTGGACCAGCCAGCAGCAAATTCATGTATGTACAGCAGGACCACCACCACCACCACCACCCCGCACCCACAGTGGATTGGTTTCATGCCCCTCCCCTGCAGATGCTGAAAAATGTGGATTCTAGCAAACACTATTTAAATAGCAAATACAATACAGGGCACGATCTCTGGCTCCCTCGAGTGGCCAGTTCTGGCAACTTCATCTTTAGAAATGTCTATTTCTAGGATTTTTCTATTAATCTTTTCAGACAGCAGATAAAGGAATCAGCGGATACTGATTCTGCCAATATGGGAGGTCCTACTGTATCCCCTTTCTTTAAAAAATCGGCATTTGGGGTTGTGCAGAAGCCCGGAGGAGCACAGGCATTGTCTCAGAACATTTCTGGAGCGAAAGCCAGGCCAACCTGGGGATTTCTCAAACGAGGGGAGCCAAAAGGGTGGATGAAGGAGGATGATTTGGAACTAGTTTTCAGGCCTAACGTGGCAAGTTTTGCAGAAAGGAGATGTTCCAGGTGGAAATTCTTCCCTCTGTTCCTTTCTTACGGCCACATCTGAAATTGAAATCAGTCCCGCTGGGGGAGAAAGAGGGACAGAATCCCTTCAAAATAGCAAGTAAATTGCTTTTTTTTTTCAAAAAAACCACACACACAGGGTTTTAAAACAAGCGGCCCACGCATGGGGCTCCAGTCCTTTGTCGAGGTTCAAAAAGCGACAAGGTCAGCATTTCCACCGCACAGTTATGCCCGGTTAGGTGACTCAGCCAGCTTCCCCCCCCTCCGCCGCCCCAGCCGGGCCCCACATCGGGAAGAGGGTTTTTGTGACGCAGCCGGATGGACACAGAGCATCGCCAGGGATCCCAGGAGAGAATACATCCAGGGACGGCAGATCAGCCAGTAAATCAGTCAGTAATTAAGAAGGGAGGAAGGAAGATAGGAAGGAAGGAAGAAAGAGGGAGGGAGGGACGGAAAACCCACTTGGCTCTTCGGTATTTCTCAATTTTCAAGGTCAGATTAAAGAAAGCAAGTTTAAATTTACTCAGGATGTCTTCGTGCTTTTTAAATCTCCCTTAAAACTACTGCTCATCATAATCCCAGACTCGGGCTGAGATCTACCCCATCCTGGCCTTTCTCTGGGACGTTCCCCATCGTCTAGGAATGGGGTCTCCTGCCCGGCTTCTCTTCTAGCCAACCTCCACTACGCCACTGAGGCAGGCGGTCGCCCGCCGGCCCGCCATCATCACCCCGCCGGGTTTTCATCACGTCAGATTAGAGGCTTCGCGAGGTCACCCACCAGGTCTCGGCAAAGGGTCGCCCATCAATCTCTCTACAGTAAAGTCTTTTTCACCGGGCTGAAGAACCTGTTCCAGCTGCGTGAAAAATCCCAGGTTCCTCCCTCCAGCATCTCAGGCCCAAAAGACGATCCAGCCGCCATTTGTGTTTGGGCCAACCTCTGAAACCTACTCTTCCTGAAAACTCAAGACCATAACCCCCAGAAAAGCAAACTCGCCAGTCATGCTGACCGTTCTACATCAAGAGGAATCTACAGCCTGACCGGACATCAGACAGCCTGTCGGGAAGGAAGAGAACACAGTCTGTGCTCGAAATACAGTAGGACCCACCTATCCGCAGGATTCACTTATCCGCTGCCTGAAAAATATGAAATAAACCCCTCCAGAAATATGTACATACAGGTGTATCTCGGTTTACAAATTTAATGCGTTCTCCAGGACGTTACGTAATGCAAAAAAACTCATAAACCAAAATGCAGTTTGCCATAGGAATGAGGGTGGCGCTATAAACCTCCAGGCACATTGCATCCTGGGGAAACTTGCTTCATACTGCAGAAAAAAAAAATCGTAAACCAAGGCATTATTTACAAAGGATTTCCGTTCATAAACTGAAAATCATGTAAACCGAGGTGCAGTACTACTGTATTTATATATATTTCTAGGGTGTATTTACCAGAACTGGCCACTAGAAAGAGTCAGAGGCCAGGCAAGGTATAGCGTTTGATATTTCCGTGTTTTTTCGTGTTAAGACGTGAAGTGTGTGTAAGACGCCCAGTTGAATGCAGAAGCCAGAAAGCATGCAGGGGAGGCGGCTGAAGACGAGCATCAAAGTCGGTCGCTCGTCACCTATCCCTGGACTACAAATCCCATCAGCCCCATATGCTACCGCCTGAGACCACACACACCCCCAAATTCCTTCCTATTCACCAAACACTAACACAGAACTCGTGGCTCAATATCCCCTTGCCCTTCGACAAAACATTTCAGATTCTCAACCACCTTGAATCCGGAGGCGACGTGCTATGCGGTAACTCCACGCACATCCACAACAGTTTGCTCAACATCTCTAGTTTATCCTATTTGCTGAGTCTGTGTTAGCTTATCTCGGAGTTTGGGGGAATCTTCCTTTCACCTATAGCCACTACTGTATATATGTGCCACGTTGACAGAGCTAAGCCCTAAGAATACACGGAAGGAAGGGTTGTTGAAAATAAATCCCCCAAATTGCACTCCTCTTTCCTCCTCTCCCCCCCAAAATCAAGATTCCCCCTCCTGGACCCCCTGAAGATCTTCTCCCCCAATCCACCCTGCCCCACCCCAGCACAGGAAGGAAGGAAACGACATCCTTTTTTTGGCTTTAGCAGAGTGACAGAAGGGACAAACAAAAGCACAGGAAAGGGGCTGCTCGAAAGGGGGGGGAGAAAGAGAGAGTCGAGAGGGAATTATTCAGTTCGCTGGGAGGAAGCCATCGGTGCTGCGTTCAGCGGAAGAGAAAAGGTTAAGAAACCCATCAGGGCGGCCAGCTGGGTAAACGCCGCGCACTGCTGCCGAACAGCTCAGCTCTCGCTTCCCGGGTGGGCGAAATCTAAATCAGCCTTGGAAGACACAAATCATCCCACGCATCGCAGCTCCCCCTTCATGTACGGACTTATTTGCAAAAGAAAGGTTACCCATCCAGCCCAGGAAATACCGGACCTTACAAAAGGGGGGGGGCTGGAGCTGTGGGATTCTCCGAAGGTGTTCCTCCTCCGAAACTCACGACACGCCTTTCGTGTTTTCCTCTCTGATCTCGCTTTTCACTCCGAGTTCCTCCCAGGCAACCTGAACGGGGTGGGTCTCAGGTGTGAAGATCCTCACGAGAGGCCTTCCTCTCCGTCCCACCTCCTTCAATGGGTCCGTCCGACGGAGAGACAGGGCAGGGCCAGAGACTATGCTATGGATCGTGTGTTCACTACAATCCACGTTTTTCAACATCCACAGGGGGCTCAGAACAGATCCCCTGCGGATAGGAGGGTCTTACGGAGTGTAATACAGTGGCGCCTCACTAGACAGTTACCCCGCATGACGATTTTTTTCGCTAGACATTGGCTTTTTGCGATCGCTATAGTGATTTGCAAAACAGTGATTCCTGTGGGGGAATTTCGCTGGACAATGTTTGATCGCTGCTTCGCAAACCAATTTTCGCTAGACGACGATTTTGACAGCTCCCTCCACGCTCGCAAAACGGGTGTTTTCGGGACCTAAGCTTCGCAAGACAGCGATTTAAACAGCTGATCGGTGGTTCGCAAAGCGTCTTTCCTATGAGTGATCTTCGCTAGATGATGATTCTTCCCCACTGGAACGCATTAAACAGGTTTCAATGCATTCCAATGGGGAAATGCTTTTCGCTAGACAATTATTTTGCTAAACAGCGATTTCAGTGGAACGGATTATCATCGTCTAGCGAGGCACCACTGTAATGCCGGGCGTCAGAGAGGGTTGAGTACAGATCGTGAATAATATTCATCAACCACCCTCTGTGAGTAACTTGCCATTTCCAGGTTGCCGAGAAGGCTCGCCTAAAACTGCAGGACAAGTTACTTTCTAAAATGCACTTCACACAAAGTGCCAGGAGGGGCCAAGCGAAGTCCCGTTTTTTTGAGCTTTTGGTGACCCAAAGCTTTTGATCCCGCAATTCCACAAGCAGCCCCTCTCTTTTAAAGGACTGCGTTTTGACACCGCCTTTGATTTATGCTTAGTTACAACCGGGCAAACTCAGAGCAATACCCACAGCTTTCATTGGACAAGTGCACATAAAACATGGCATTTTTTTTCAAAACATGACAACAACAACAGGGCAAATCCTGACACACCTTCAGGTCTCTTTTAAAATGGTTCAAGGAAGACGCCCAGCATGTAAAGAGAGGAAGACACGGTGCATTCCAGCTTCTCAAATTGACAACCGTGGTAAAAAAAACAATACTAAGAGAAAGCACAAGCACCATCAGAAGTTCCCGGCTTCCACTAAACACGCCACCGACTCTGATCCAGATTCTGGGCGCACGAATTCATTCCCGCCTCCAGCACGAAAGCGGGAGTCACTTGCTCGAGCTATCCGTTGGATACAGCAGCGCCGTTTCCAACATGGTTGAATCTACTCATCGCACCTCCAGGTTCAAGACTTCCGTCAGCCTCGGCGGCAAAGCTGTACAAACCAGCTCGACCATCTCCCTGGCAGGAACTGGCCCAGTTTGTCAACACAACCACAACGTCTCCCTGAACAGTCAGAATGTTTCTTGACATTCCTTGCCATCAGCCCCTCAG